GTGCTGAATTATAATTACTATGGTCTGTAACGTGCGGTGGACGTGAGGCTGTGGACATGAGGCTATGTTCGTGACGGCAAGCAGGTGATGTTCGTGTAAATCATGTGACCGCGGGCCTCGGCTTCACGTCCTGTTTCACTCGCCGCTCAGTTTTGTTTTGAGTCTCTGGGTGGTGTCGGTGGTGTTTGGATCAGAGACCAGGATGAGTCAGGGTCTGGGAACACACCTGTGCAGGAAACAGCCCCGAGGCTGTGCCTGTGTCACGGCACTGATCACATTCATTGTTCTGCATTGTGTTTTTGGTTTTGCTACATTTGATAAAAATGAAGTTGTGAACAATCAAACTTTCTCTGCTTAAAAGTGTGGACATTGTTTTGTGTGGTTTATTCACTTTTTAGCATTTTATGTAGATACTTCTTTCAAACTTTGAGTTATAAAGGTTGTACAAAGCTGAACCGCTCAGAATGTGATTACAGTGACCCCTCGTATATCGCGGGAGTTACATTCTAAAAATAACTTGCGATATGTGAAATCTGCAATGTTTATTTTTTAAGGCTGTAAAACCCCTCACTACACACTTTATACACTTCTCTCATCGCTTTAAACGCTGCACGGTCGTACTCTCTCTGCACGCCATATTATCCATTGTTGATCTGCACACGTCTGTTGCTGCCACAAACGTCACATGCTTGTACGTCATTGTTATGAGACACTCTCACTAACAAAATCCCGGTTTAGTAACACAGTAACGCAGTGCTCTTATGGGAAAAAAAATAGTAATCTAATTACTTTTTTGCAATAGTAATGCCTTACATAGCTCTTTTTGCACACAAATCTTTTTAATACTTCAATTTTTTGTCTCCATTTATTTATTTATACTGTTTGTATTTTATCTGTCCTAGTCCTATTGTACATATTAACCGGTATCTGTGTGTGGACAGCAGAGAATTTTATTGTACAGACAAATGCTTTTCTTTGTACACAAGGACAATAAGCGCTTTGAATCTTGAATCTTACTTTACTCGTTACTTGAATAACGAGTAAAGTAAGATTCTGCCCACCTCTTGTTATTAGTGACAGAATTGATACCTCAGAGGAAAATAAGGACACTGAAACAAAACACCAGTGAATGGCCATCACTGTAGTGCTGCAGCAGCGAGTTCATGTTAAACCAGGATATACTGACCACTTCGTCTTTACCAGTAAGTGGCTGTTTGCTGTTCAGCTAGCTGCACTCAAACGGGAAAATGTTCCGGTTGAAAATAAATGGTGTAGTGTCGGGGGGGTCATCACAGGAAGAGCAGCGTGTCCTCCAACTTTTCCTCACACTTTAACTTTTAATAAAATAGGGCTTTTATTTTGAAAGTCACGGGAATAGGATTGCTCTACAAAAAAACTGAAGTTTTGACTTCAGGCGTCTTCACTCCAGGTGATCTCCATGACATCCCACCCGCTGGTATCATGATGGGCGCAGCCCAGTCTCCTGGCCAATCAGACACTGACCCTGCCGGTCCGGGCTCCACCTCAAGACTGCTGGAGTTAATCCAGACTCAGCAACATGAGGACACGTGGAGGAAGGAGGTCCTGAATCTGCTGACCCAACTGGTCCAGATCCAGACGGAGGCGGCCAAACAGCAGGCCCAGGTGGTCGATCAGCTTGGCACCCTGGGAACTCAGGCGAGTCCAGCTTTAGCCCGGCTTTAGTTAAATTTATCTTGGACTTAATGTAGTTGAGTTTATTTGAGATGAGATTAGCACGTTCGGTATATCATAAGTTTAGCCAAGGATTTTTACAGATACGTCATCACAGTTTTAACTCAGGTTTAGCTGATTTTAGATGAGTATATCTCAGATTTAGTTCAGATGCATTCTTATTAATATTAGTTTAAACTAAATTAATACAGCTTGTCTGAGTGCTGGAAGTTCTGGTTCTGCATTGTTTAAGATTTACAGACCGAGTATGCAAAAAGCCACCCAGATTAAGTCATTCAGAAGCATTGATTAGCCATTTTTCATCTCAATATCTGCTGAGGAGATCAGTCTAACCTTGTCTGCATGTCTCAGGGGTTGCAGCAGATCCAGGATCTGCAGAACCTGGCTCGTCACCAGAGCCTGCTGGTTGAAAACCATCAAGCTTTACTGCTGCAGACATCTCGCATCGCCACACACCTGCAGGAGACCACCAAGAAGCCCGCCAGCAAATGAGATTCTCTGACCCTTTGTGATATCATCTTTTCTGATGAAATTACACATTGTTAACCAGCCAATAAGAGTCCTATCAAACAACAAATGACTTTGATTTTTGTTCTAGCTGAACAACATCACATATTAACCAGTAACGCTCTAACAAACCTGCTGTCAGTTAATCAGTGGATCAGTCAGCTAACAGACCTCCTGTGTGTTAAATCAGATGATTTCAGTGGTTTCCTCTATGATTTTAAATAAAGTTGTGTTGTATCCTCTTCTCAGTGTTTGTACTTTTATTGAGACCCACTTTAAACTGATGTTGCTAACATCTGTAACATCTGCCCGCCCTGAAGAGACTCAGAAGTGCATCGTCGTCTCATAAACGTTTCTCAGGGTTTCACTCTGGTTTTATTTGCATGTTAATGTCAAGCAGGTCAGTTTATACACATAACTCATCAAACCGTAGCGCGTTCGTCTCACCAATGAAAAACTACATGAATGTGACACAGTGCTAGATGTTCCAGGTTATGGGAGCTGACACACAAAATCTGACCAATAAAGGATTAGGGATAAATCCACGTGGAATCCGTAAGCTCTGCTGTTCCCATCCCCGAGCTGTAAATGATGTTTCACAGAAGTTGCGTGTTCATTTCAGTATCGACTGTCTAAGGCATCTGTATTTCCTCATCTGTGTTTGGCGAATGTCAGGACTGGAACTCTGTTTTCAAACAAACCGCGGACTGGAAGTGTTAGTGTCCAAACTCACCGGCTGGGTGGCCAGTCTCTTAAAAGACAAAAAGGTCCAATCAGGTGACTCAGCTCTGATTCAAGATTGAAAAAGTTATTGTCATGTACACCACAAAACACAGATGGTTATGCAGAGGAATGAAATTCTTACTTTGCAGGTTCCCTTCATACAACTAAAAAGAAAGTAATAAATAAGTAAAACAGTGCTTATGTGTGGGTGTAATCAGAGTTTAAAGTGCAAGTGGTTTCAACACTGTCACAGTAATAATATATACAGAGTATGCAAAATCAAGGTGTTTATGTAAAGATATGTACAAAAGTTGCTAATTTACAGATTAATATAAATATACAAAATTGAAAATTACAGGTTAAGGGTAATTACAGTTGTACACGGTGGGCCATTTATATGGATACACCGTAATAACATGGGAATGGTTGGTGATGTTAAAGTCCTGTTTGTGGCACATTAGTATATGTGAGGGGGCAAACTCCTCAAGATGGGTGGTGACCATGGTGGCCATTTAGAAGTCGGCCATCTT